CTGTGTGTGCGTGAGTATGTGTGTGTGTGTCTTCAGGATTACATTTATTTTTAGATCATCCCGAGAGGTTTTCGCATTTATTCATCTTTTCTGCTCGACTACAAATCTATACACAAACACCCGTGATCGGTGTTTACGCCTATTTGGCTCACTGTTGTCATAGAAAAATTATACCCGTTTTTTTTTTTTGCCTCAGCAGTTAATGGCATTTTAAAAGAAAATAACCAGCAGTTTGGACCATGACAGCTTAGGTTGAAGTCAAAGAAATGAATGAGAAATAAAAGGTTTAAAACAAGGTTACAGTTTATATAGTCCCCATTATATCTGGGTAAAGAGAGCATCAGTGCCTTTACATCACCTATCCACAGTTCAGTCTTTGACTCGGCACGAGGGGAGGACGTCTCCTCTCCTCGACAATAAATAAAAACAGAAGCTACGAGCTGCGACGCTATGTGAGCAGGAGACAGGTGGACAGAGAAAAGAACTCCCTTCAGTGAGATGGCGTGGCTTCACAAATGAACGGTTCTGAGTTGTGGTGTAAATAAGAAAACAGAGACCCCATTAGGAGTCAAAGGAAACTAAACAATCTGCTAAGAGTTGTCTTAAGTCTCATGCAAAATATCGGATGCCACAAGCATGCATTTACCTGGTAATGAGGTCTACCGCACGCTAGAACTGGAACAACATTCGTCTCCAACGCAAAATACCAATATCCAAATATATGATCTGTCCTTTTTACAGTATTTACAGTGTGTAGCCGATAAAGGTAAAATAGATGACTCTTCTTTTCGATTCATAACTCAGTCATTAATAATATACTTGTGAAACGAATGAAATTCTTGTTTCCTAGATATATATATTGAAATTAAACCATCTCTCAGCATGTTAAATAGATAAAGGAACTCTATGTATTTTCTAAACATCTGAAAAAAGTCTTTTTTTTTTAAAATTGTGCAATAAAATTACAGCTATGTAAGTGTGACAGAATATATAATAAGATGTTTTTAAGTGTTTCAGTCAGACAGCACAGTATCTACTCTTATGGAAAAGGCCTGACCTCTTAAGTGATTCAGGGATTCCCAGTGTGTATGAGAAAGAGAGAGTGAGAGATGCAAGTCCCACACTGAAGGGAAAATACATGACTAATTCAAATCTGCCTGTGAAACTGAATAGATAATCACTAGTGGAATGCTGGAAGGCACTGTTAGATAGCATCTCTCTTCTCCGCAGCAGAACGGGCCAGCAAGTATGTGCATGATTATGTGTTTGTGTGTGTGCGTGCCTGCATGCTTGTGTCTGAATGTTGGTACTGGTGGTGGCGTGGGGTTGGGGGGTTGGGGGGAGCGTGGCGATGGGTGTGGGCAGGCGGGCGTAGCACTGGACCTGAGGTTATCATGGCCTGGGAACCATATCTTTTTCCTGTGCCAGACGAGGGAGTTATCTTCCAAATAAAAAAAAAAAACAATCTCACTGGGAGCCATCTCTACAGACACCAGCAGCCAACTCACCCGTTTCTCAACTTTCTTTACTGAAACAAAACATAAATTACACAACATACAAAGCAAGTTCGAAGGTCTTTTTTTTCCAATAGGTTATAAGGCCTGTAAGAAGGCAAACAAATGACATAGAACGATATATAACTCTTTCATATCACGTTGTAGTGAATAGTGAAGATATATAATGATATATCACATCGCACAAGTTGTCATACTGTATATGTACTGTCCGTCAGGTGATAATAATTCAACACAAAGTGTACGTCTGTGTCTGAGGTCAAAGTATGATCACAAATCATGGACAGGCGTTTGTTTCACTTACATTCCAACTGTAGAAAAGAATACACCTTCATGTTGTGTGTGAATTGGTAGTTTCTCCTCAGTCGATCTTCTCCTTTCTAACTCCCCCGTTGACGGACTCTGTGGCAGGATCTCTCTCTCTCTCGCAGCAGCTTTTTGTTGATTAAACAGATCAATCTGATCTCGGGCCACAGTCCTTTGTAAATCACTTAGCGAGAGCCGGAGCTAACCGCCAGAGCACGGATCAGATCTGGAAAACAAACATGGCGGCGGAGGAAGTGTGCCAAGATTTGAAGCTGCAGTCTTCGGAGATTCATGAATCTGTCAGAAGACACCTGCGTGCTACAGATTAAATTCACCTTTCGGCCTCCCTACGGTATCGGCTAACGCTTCGACAGTGCACTTTTGCAGCACTGACTCACGACTCATGCGGTCGTCCTGTTCATTTAAAATTTCTGCCATATTTCTCTGACCGTTTCCCCTTGTGCTGTACAGAACACTTTCCTATTTTGTCACGCTGTGGCATTGCCCCTGCTAAAGTACTTCTCAGACTGAATATGTGCTGTGCTTTTTACAGTGTGAGCAATACAAAATAATAAAGTAAACTGAAGGAGAAGAAGAAGAAGAAGTAGAAGGAGAAGAAGAAGTAGAAGGAGAAGAAGAAGAAGAAGAAGAAGTCTGTTTTTTTAACAGCTGACGTGAAAAAGAGAGATTGTTTTAGACCTTGGCCAATGCATCAACGTCACTTTTAGCTCTCGGTGGATTACCGGAGGTAGGCCACGCTCTTTCCAAACACCCAGTGAGCTGCCAGCACAGTGCTACAGGGGTGGTCTCTGGGGAGAGTGGGGGGGGGAAGGGATGGGCTCTGACACGAGGCAGGTGAAGCGCAGCGTGCCTATCTGCAGCTCCCAGCTGTTTCATCAGAGTGGCAAGCTCAACCCCACAGCCCCTTCAGCGTGATTGGATATGAATACCCTGTCAGAATTGGTTGGTGAAAGGATGTAAATATTCTATTGATGTTCTGACTATTGATTTGTTCCCTGACCCATCATATCACAGCCAATGGCGGGCTTCCAAGAAAGCGAGGCTCTTCCTCTGAGAGCCACTGACTCACAGAGGCCGAGCAGGTGGGTAGAGAGATAGAGAGGGATGCAAAGAGGGAGGGTGAAGCTGACGTCAGAGGGATTTGACTGTGTATGCAGACGGCTAGAGGAAGTGATTATGTGGCGTCGAGAGTGAGGAGGAGATCCGGACGCAGACATCAGCGGAGCAGAGATGGCCTGAATAGTCTGGTGGATCTAACGCAGAGGTGGCGCTGACAGTCGAGCTTCAAGGGTCCGGTCGTACGCCACAGCCAGGAGCTGAGGCCCGTCATTGTCCAGTATCACATTCAGGAGAATGCAACAAGTAATCTCACATAGCAGCACAGCAAGATCTCAGCTTTTTGGACACAATCATACCATGAGGAATGACCTGGCTTGGCTTGTGTTTCTTTCCAGATGATGGATTAAAAATGAAATCATACAGTATAACAATCTCAATAAACTCCAGGACATTCAGATGGTGTGAACAATGCAGAATCCGAGGGAAGGAGTTCATGACAGTTGACTCAGCTGGAGAAGCATGATAACTAAGAACGTTACTAACAAATATGATGAACTGAGTTTATTTTTTTCCTTAATGTTTTAAATCCAAGTCTTCAGTCCTCTTGCTGCTTCAGATCACACTCTATATTAACATTGGTCCTTAACTTCGGAGTCTCTTGTGTTTGTGTGTGTGTGTGTGTTTCATATTTTTCCTCATCATGGGACATGATCATCCAGTGTTTAGTGCTTCTAAGAAAAATAGCTGGTCCTTCAGAAGAGTCTGTGTATCTCTATTTCTTAAATGGAGCTAATCTACTAAAATTCTGCCAGAAGGGAGCCTGGCCTCTTTTGGATTGACTGAATTCAAAAACCTCTCCTTGTGCCATGTCCTCCGTTACCTCATACTGCCCTGCACTGAGGGGGTCCTGCGGGGGCGGGTACGAGGGGGGCGTGCACCTGTTTACACCTAAAGGGAGGCAGGTGMAAAGAGAGCGAGGAGAGGGGGAGGGGGTTGAAGAAGGCAGTGCAGGGCACAAAGCAAAAAAGGAGACAAAGAAGGGAGGTGGGTGGCAAAGAGGAAACATCGTCAGTATTGATGATCTGAACTCAGACACAACAACACAACATCAAGTCATGCTTCACACAGAAAACAGGCACTAAGACGCACAAAATGAGTTTTCGGTGTGATTACATTACCACATATTAAACCTGAGATATGATACACTGTGATCATATGATGGCGGCTGAATTGGGACAAAAGTGGAATTCAGCTGTAGCGATGACACAAGGGAGACTAAAGATGCTATTCAATCAAACTCTGCAGCAGGCAAACAAGGGAACAGACAGATTGCACCAGATATGATGAGGAAACAAGGCGTTTGGACGAGGGGACGCCGTTTGTCCATGGTTCTGAGTTTGTTTGAATAGCACCTTCGACACTTGAGAACACAAGAGTGGCGAAAATAGAGCCAACAGAAAGCTGTTAATATGCATTTAACTACGGTCTACGATGTCATTTAGCTACAGTCTACAAGCATCACAACTAGTGTAGCTCGTGTAGTTCAACATTAGATATTTGGAGATGAGATATTCAAAAGTTGCCATGGCATCTTAGGAAAAAAAAACATGAGAAGATAAGAAACAGTGGGGTAATTTTGCCCAAACACTGTTTCTGCAGGTTAGAAGGGTTCGATGTTATTTGTGTTAGAGAAACCTGTTTACTTTTGGGGAGGCGGGATAATGCTTGTAAACAGATTGTGAAGTGAGTGCATGCTCCAATGCCAACGTCAAATCAAGACACCTCCCAATGCTGCTTTAGCAGTTGCCATGGCATCTTATTGTGTGCTAGCTCTAAGGAGAACTCTAATGGATATACCTTTATCATTCTCAAACCATGTCCATACAACATGGCCCTCTTTCTCAAGATGAAATCTATAAATGAATCTGAAATTCAAGAGAGTACTTCACCTTGTGCCAGCCATGTACACATACAGCACTTAGAAACACAGACACATTTATTTACTCCTGACAGACATCTACAGGGATCCTAACATCAGAGAGAACATGCCAGCAGTGGTCACATTGGTTAATCAATACATCTCCAATGGATGGGCATGCTCATTGTGAAACTGGTAATAGCAAGAACATCAGTAATGGTAAATGTACAAACATCTAGCCTGGCACTAAAATGGCTACATCTTAAAGGACGATACCGGCAGCGTGGACGTGTGGGTCCTCTGTCTGTGATGCTTTGTCAGGAACTAGCATCTAGAATGACTTGTTTGACATGTTTTTCTGTTGCTGAGGTATCTGGTAACTGCTGGGGTTAATGTTGTTGACGTAGACACATGTTGTGTTACGGTAAAGGCTCATTTATGCTCAACGTCAGATACGTATATGGAAACGGATGGAGCCCTCAGTCTGTACACTGTGTACCCTGCTGCCGTCCACCACATAGACACCCCCCCACACACATATATCCTGTAGTATCACTTCAGACCAGCGCAAACTTACTGCTGTTCCTCCTTTCACAGTTATTACTATTTATTATTATGTGCTTATACCATTAACTGTTTTAAATCTTAGTATCTTTTTAATGTCTATCATAAATACTGTGTTCTAGTGAGGTGTGCATACAGCAAAACTCCAGCAACCCACCTTATAGCTCTGTTCTGTTTTTATATTAAGTTTTATTTTATTTCATATCGCAGTTTTTTTATGTTGGATTTTATGTTGCACTGTTGTTTTACACTCTGCCCCAAGAGGAAATACATGTTCAGCTGTATACTATGTACATGGATAAATGACAATAAAAATTGGCTTGACTTCACCTGACTTGATCTGCGTTCACAAGTATTTTTTGTTTCGAGCCAAGCCTGACCCCTCAGGAAGGTGGCCTTGTGAGTATTATATGTGACGTAGGGGACGTAGCCATGTTGTTAAGTGTTGTAATTTGCTGCAGCCACACAACAAAAATGTCCGTCAGGTCCATTCATGTTACTAACCTGTTTTACGGCCACCATGAGCAGTGAAGCACTGAGGGACACGGCTGTGTATGTTCGCCACAGTTCTGCAATAAAGCTGCCAGTTCTCTACCTCTAGAGTTAGACTGCACTGTTTTACCGTTACCATTAATGAGACAAGGCAAAGCTAAGTCACACAAAACAGACGAAATGGAGAGCGCCATCATGGGGGATGGTGTAGCCAAGCGTGAAGACCATATGTCACGAGGAAATTTCAAAAATAGCTAAACTTTTTTTATGGAGGGACTTTGAGAGTTGGTTTGAAACTACAGGAATCCATTTGATGCTGCATCGCCCCAGGGACAGAGACAAAGACTTTCTTAAGTAACTCAAGTAACTTTCTTTGTATTGCTTAGACACTCCTGACTCATTACTGCTCTCTAGAGGTTTTATTGCATAATAACAATACAGGTTGCGTAGAGGAAACATGGAAGTATGGGGGTAGTGACGGTTACATTGTTTTAAAGGGATGTATCTCTATACATATGTAAAGAAGGCATAAATGAGCCTTAAAAGAGAACAAGTTAACTTAAATCGTTTTTTTCTCCTGATTTTAAGGTGTCACATCATTCCATTGTGTTGATTACACAATGTAAGGTGACGGCTCCTTCCTGTACAATTTAGATGTTGTAAAAAAACACAGAAAATCGACTACACAACAAAGTGTTAGCTTAGAAAATTGAACAGCTATTTTTGTTCCCTGACAATCTGGATGTTGAAAGAACCATCCTAACAAAAAAAGGAAACAGTTCTCTATAGTGTTGAATCATTTCAAGACAAGCGTGACACAAGCCCCACATGTCACCAACACTGGTATCGCCCTTTAAACTCAATCATTCATGCAAACAGCCCTCTGTCTTTTCATTGATGCTTAACAGCTGCTCTACAACTTGTATCCTGTCATCCTCATATATGGGCTGACACACGTTTAACTCAAAGCAACAATATTGAAATTAATATGCAAATAGCAAGATGACAGGAATTCGCAGGACTCTTCTAGCTTACTGAGTCTAATCTAGATCCATCCGTAGACAAAGTGCGCAGGTGTTTAGAAGAAAGGTGTAGCAGGTAAAAAAAAAAGAGAGCAGGTTGAGGGAAGAGTAAACAGCGATGAGAAGACAGAGCAGACCAGCGAGGAAAAAAAAAGGGAAATCACCTGATATCTTCTTGTTGCCTCACCTTTCTGTTTAGTCACCTTTCTCACAGTCATGGCCGCCTGACGCTTCTGGTACTCAGAGATCTCGAAACCTAAACAACAATAACATTGAATGTTGAGCAAATGTTCCATACTCATGTAACAAAACAAGATGTAACAAGAACACTCATCTTACTGTGGTGGATTCTATTATGTTTTTTAGAGTTAAGTTATTTTTACAATCAGAGCAAAGGCCTAATGGACACACTCACTTTGTTTAAATTACATAGCAAAGCTCATGTTAAGCACTGAATAAAGTCACTTTGTACTGTGCTGCAGGGAACACGACATGTAGCTGAAGTTCCAGAGCCCATTGTGAATGAAAAGCATCTCCCTGCTTTCCAAACAGGGAGGTGCAGAGGGGTGCGCGACTAACCGATTTTCTCGTCCTCCTGCACCATCTTCCTCTCCTCGTGGAAGGCCCTGAGCCAGCGGATCTTCTCCTCCGGCTTCTTGGCCAGGAAGATGTGGATCTCCTCGCTGTCTTTGTTGCACAACTTGAATGCGTTCTTCACACTGACATTGAAATCGTCGTCGCGCCCGTCTAAGGCGTCCCGCACCTCGTAGCGGTCCATGTCAATGCGGCCCTTATAGTACAGGATATCCCTGCGTATCAAGTCCTGGGTAAGAACAGGGGAAGATTGTTAATGTGCATGTGTGTGAATCTTCAAGGTCCTTCCCTTGGTATCTTGAGACTTTGTAAAATGCAAACACGTTCCACACTCACTTTCTCATTTCTCCGTAAAACTGCAGCTCACCTTATGCCACAAAAAAATTATATATTTCAACAGTATTTTATACAGACACATGCTCTACAGTACAACAGCCCTGCAATGAATCATATTTTCGTGTAGTTAAAGCTACTCAGTCATTGTTGTCAGACCGTAGTTTCATTTTTGATTGTAGAACCAGTGAAGCCTCAAAAAATAAACAAAACTATGAATATTTAATTCACTTTTTTTTCCAGCTACACCAGCATGAGGGCTGCAACCAATAATTATTTCTAATCAACTATTCATTTGCTATTATTAATGGATTAATCTTTGAGGAGGGAAAAACGTGAATCACAATTTCCAACACCACAAAACATTCACCTACTGTCACGTAAGACTTGTTGTTTGTGACCAACATCAAGCACAAATAACCTGAACAGACAAAATTCACATTTTGCAGAAAAAACATCATCATCGTGACCATTGCCTCAGGCCCAAATAACATCCAGTCACACGAAAAGGTCAAGGAAGGTAAAATAAGAGAAGGCAACAGGATCTTTTAATAAGCATACAGAGACAAAGCTGCATTCATGTGCTGATAAGAGATGAGAGGAAAAGATAAAGTGGGGCTACTCGCACACCCCGAGGGCTGCCATTACACATGTTGTACCGAAGACGCTGAAGCAGGAAGTGTAGAACAAAGGCTAGAATCTATAATTTACTATGTCTTGGAGCTGACTTTATTTGGTGGACCAGAACAGTGGACACACGTGTATGATCTGCAGTTTATTTCTGGTGCAAGAGATCTTCAGATGTGATAGAGGGGGGATGAGGAAAGAGAAATAGAAAGACGCTACACCTTGTATGTATTATATTTTTATTCTCTCTGTTTGTGTGTGCAATGGTGAAATTATTGTTCCTCTGTGTGTACACGTGCGTGTGCGATGATGCAGTTATCCCTGTGTGTGTTTGTGTGTAAGTGTCCGTCTGCATCTGTGTCTGCGTCTCCGTGCGCATGTATCCCTGAGTCAGCCGAGCATGAATATCCGTCTGACAGGAGAGAGCACAGCCTCAGTGCATTAAAGCCCAAACTACCACAGCTCCATTTTGTGAAAGGTGCCGAGGATTGGAAGGCATTTCCTCCGAGCGCTGGTGTGTTTTATTCGGCATTATGTAATTTGTTTTGCAGCTCTCAAGTAAGGTTGAAGAAGTCACATTGTCCCAGAGCATCTCCGTCAAATGACATGTGATACACAACTTTTGAGAAAATGGAGGTTGGGGGGAGATTTTTAGCTTGTCTGTTTTTTTTTAAGCCAATAAAGTCTTCAAGTAAAAAAGTAAAGAAAAGCAACAGCTACCTTCTTACAGAGGACCAGCTGGTGATCAAAGAGGAAGAAGACTCGCTGCTGGCTGCGTCCATACGGCTGATAGATCCATGACAACTCCCCTGTGTAGATGAGCTCTGAGCTCCTGTCCAAGATATCGTCTCCCTGGACACACACACAAACACAGACACACATTTAGTAGATGAAGAGAACACTTTTGGTACAGCAAACGTGCTCAGTGCTTGTCATCCAGTTGTGTATCGTTAGCTTTGTCAAGATAACTGTTCTGATCGACTTCAAACTTTATTTCTGAGCAACTAAGAAGCTACAAATTATTGTTTGTAATTATGTCTTCGCCCACATAATTAGGGTAATATGTTTTGTTTACAAGCTCAAAAAGCTACATTAAGTGATTGTGCAAGCACAGTTAAAAAAATAATTGGGAAGTCAGGGAAATGGTTTGGGTCTCAAGAAAACTTCAAAAACACTTCACTTCCTGGAGTCCTCAGAAATGCAGCCACCAACAGAGAACTCAATCGAACAAGTAGCTGTTGAGACATCATTGTCTTTCTTTCTTTGGGCTCTCTAAGGATTAGGACAACACTTTCTAAGGACTCTTACACTTGACGGTTAACAAGACAAGGTTGATTACTCGGCAGAGGAAGTCTAACAGAAAACACTATCAAGTTGCATGATGGGAAAAGCATCTTTGGGAGCTGATATGCAAGATATCTCAGCGTCAGCTTCATTGATTTGGACTTTTATTTATTTGGCTCTTACAAGTCTCCTAGATTTGTTAAGAAGTAAAGAATAATCCTTGAAACAATGTTCGAGAAGGTAACTGCAGGTATTTTTCTTGATTTGAAAGTGAAAGTTGAAAAGGTACCTTGTTCAGTTTCTTACAGTCAAGAAGTACTTCTTAAAAAGATGAAATATTATTGCACACAGGTTTGGTGACATATGGAGCAAAAGGCAAGTTCTTCCATTTGCAAAATGAGTGGACATGTGCACAAGAGTGGACCAAATGTAGCCGGTAAAACAAGTGATGGACATCAGATGTTTTGTAATTACGCCACACTCAGAACAAACACATACCTCCCAGTCCAGAACAGAAGCTTGCCACTGGGCGATTTTGTCAATATTCTCCAGCCTCCTCTTCCTCTCGTTGATCTGCTGAGTGACGTTCCGCATTACTGCCAGGGCTGCTGCCACGTATCGATAGTCACTGTGGACAGGTTACACATAATTACACCAGTGTGTTGAAGGCTGAACTTATAGCTCTTGGAGACTGGCCGCTCTTTTAAAAAAACATGTGTAATGTTGCAGTAGTAATGGCCTATTAAAGACAAGGGTTATAAAGTAAAAGTAACAGCAGTACATCTGCAGGAGCACAGTCATCAGCCATTTTCTCTCTCCACAGTTAACTCTGACTGCGTCTTTGCTAACTGAGCTGGATTTATCCCTCTGGCTTAAATGTGCTATGGATCCAATCCTTACTTTGAAAGATAATGTGTGTGTGTGTGTGTGACAGCGAGCAGGCCTATATCTGGCAGATACTCCACAGCTCCTAACAGTCAAACACTGTGATCTGGCATGCCTCGCTGGCAGAGCTGGCACCTATCCCTCTCTGGCTGAGAAAGTGTGGTTTGTAAATGACCTGGAGCTGGCTGAGACACGCTGAATCATTCACACCATGTTTCTGTGAGTTTGCGCGCGTGAGTTTGCACATCTGGATGCTGATATATGCTCATGAGAGATCATGTGCAAATGTTTAGATTGCCTATTGTTCTCCTGTGCTGTGCATACAGTGTGGAATGTTGACACTTGTATATGTGCCAGCAGAGCCCAAATTCATATTTAATCTGCAACCTATTTATATACAGAGCTCTATGCAATGATCACATGGCTGTGTATTGATATGAAAATGATTTGACTTGCTTATGAACTGCCGCACTGTCATGTACATTTTTAGTACGAATGAGGTTTCCTGATGAAACGCTTTCATCTCAAATATCCACAGAAAGCTGTTGAAGCAGTGCAAAACAACAATTGTCTCAGTTCATGCATGGATAACACACCCAACACCAGCAACAGCTGCATCGCAGCACAATGCATCTGGAACGCATTGACCCATCAGTAATACAATAATTTTTTTGAAGTAAATAAACTGCCATCAAAACAGCAACACAGTCTGGGTACACTACCTGTGCTCCTGTGCGGTGTATTTGAGAAGCTCGGCCAACTGGAGGGGATATTTGCAGATTTTCTGGACAGGGGTGAGCAAGAAGCCATCTATGGCGATGTCAATCATTTGCTGGAGGAGGCGACAGGCCTCGAAGAAGTGCTGGTACCTGCCATCCCTCATCAGTTTGCTCAGCTCCATACAGGCATCCAAGTGGTTGTTACAGTACTCTGAATAGATCCAAAAACCATCTTGCTGCAGAGTGAAGGAGCACAGAGGTGCACGATCAGAGAGGAGAATAAGTTATGACTCCACTTTTTAACATGCATAGAAGAACCATGTGGTTCCTTCCATTTTTCCATCAGCTTTTTTCTCAAGATCATGACTTAATAATCTCGTTATCCTGGAGATACTGTTTTCTGGCAACCTAATTATCTCCACAACTTAACTCTTATCTCAAGATAAGAAGATAATTAAGTTCTGATCGTGAGATAACACAACACAACACTGACACAATTATTAGCAGTTATGTCTGCTCTCGGCTGGACAGTCAACAGTCAGCTTCCATCCTGCTTTAAGAAAGGAATGCTCAGCCTATACCATTTGAACTCACATGTTCTAAAAAGCATGGTCCGATTTCAGAGAGGTGCGGGTCCTCTGTGTTGTACTGTTTCTCCAGGTCTCTGACGAAGCCCATCTGGAAGCGGTAAATGTCCTCGATGTTGCCAAAGATGACCTTCAGCTGGTCGTCGTTGAACATGTCCACACGCTTCCTGCACTGGCGCAGGTAGCCCTGCAACAATATGGGTTACAGTGCCTGTGAAGTTTTCAAACATGATTCCAGGTCCTATAGTGTGACATGGCTGCAAGGCTACGAGTCAGAAAATGCTACAGAAATGTGTAATTTATACCTCCTCACTCTCATATTCTCTGGAGTCCTTTAAGTCTCAAAATAGTTTTTTCTTCTTCTAAAAATGCAAGACAATGAAGTTGTATGATCTTTTGTTTAGCTCAATGATTTGTTCTCACAAGATACGTTTCTTGTGTATACTTATACAATATAACACCTTGAGTGCACAAGATTAAAAAAACCTTTTGGGATGTTGCACATTCCTATTTTGTTAAATCTTTCAAAGAAAACATTGAAGAAGTCAAAAAAGGGTTGAACTGGGGTCTCAATTTGTTAGTCCAATTCTTGTTGGTAATTCAATTCCCTGAAGCTTTAGAAGAGATCTGCCATAAGAGGCTTTTTTTGCAATGTCACACTCGGAAGTCACTGTTGTCTTTCTGAAATACACATTTGTTCTGTTTCTTGAAGTCCAATCCAAATAATCATAATTTAGGCATTGGTTTAACCTGGGGAATCCTCCTTTAGAGTAATGTAGTGTGAATGTTGAAGACAAACATGCGTTCAGAAGAATTTTCAGTACAAATGATTGTGTGTGTCTACAAGATATGAAGCATCATAGCCACCATAGCATTCAAGTCATTTAGGGTTCCATTAAGAATCACCTCATGACATTTTGACTTAATTGAAGCCAGGATGGCCACACACACACACGTCTCCTCTAATTAGCTTCCCTGAATCTGAAAACCCTTTTACTTTCACATAGGTCAAAGACAAAGTTTGCAAACAGTTAGGAGAAAGTAAAAATCTTCCCTTGGACTGGCTTGTTCGAATCTACTTAAGACAGTTGCAACACACAGTAGATTCCCCTACACATATTATACAGTATGTGGAGGCACCCTGCATTTTACCATTGTAACCATTAGGCCTCACCCAAACTACAGACTACAGAGGGTTAAGGAAAAACTTGCTCTTGACTGTGAGTCAATGTGATGCAAAAGTATTTTGCTCTGTATTGTGATATGGTTGCTATGAATTTCTTTAAACAACTGCTTCATATGTCAAATAAAAAGCTCAACACATTACCTGATTCCTTTCAGGAAAACCAACTGATGGAAATAGACTACTGTATTTAACAGCAGTAAGAAACAACTAGGTAACTATGTGTGATACAATGTTTGTTTATGACTATTGCTCATGCAAGTCTGTCTATTAGTACTGGACACATTTATATCAAGATATTGTTTATATCACTCAATGTTGCTAAATATTACGATAAATGTAAAATTAGTAGTTTAAAGTTCATAGACTGATTTTTGTGAAGGTTGTATTTTTAAACTATTCTTTAACATTTGATATGCAGCAGAACATTTTACAAATCTGAGTTAAACCTCCTCACTGTGAACTGTATTTAAAGTGATGAACTAATATTCAGCCAAACACTGATTCATTGTCAGATGGTTTCAGTTCAAATCCACTCGCTATCAGTCTAGTTTTTATGGTGCAGTGCGATCACTCAGTGGCCCCTCTATCATATTTGTGAGATTTGTTTTACTGATCTTCTCACTGTGCTGTGGAAAAACAACAGCCTGGGTTGTGTTCTTATAAATCACACTGCCTCTTGATTTTAGATTCTGATTTAATGTGTCATGTGTTAAATCCTTATAAAGGCTTGTTACACAATAATAATAACAGGGCTTGTGTTTAATTTTACGAGGTGTAAATTCTCGCTTGTCACTTTGGCATGATTCATAATATGATGACAAATATAATCTGGGCTGGATCACTCCAAGTGAGGCTGCTACCACTACTGTGTACAACTAACATATTGTGTTTTCATATTTGAGAAAGAAACCTTTATTTTTGGACTGTTTTGGAATCAAAAGAAAGAAGATATGCCTGGAATATGTGGGAGTGCTAATAATTCCTACTCGAGTCTTGTGCAGCATCAAAACGGTGCTTCTTCTCTCACACTTCAGTTCCATACCATTAATCTCTTCTACTGTACCTTGGTATAAAATGCGTGTGCAAGTGTTTTTAGTACCTCACAGATGTCCTTGAGGTGTTTGATGTAGTGTCTCTCTGTGCTCATGATCTCATTGATGACGTTGGCTCTCATCTGGTCTCGGTTCTGGAGGGGTGAGCCCAGACACAGGCAGTCATTGGTCGGGTCCAGGTGCCCGTTCTGCACCTCGCTGGTCCCCTCAGCTGGCTCTGCTCCCCCGTCCTCCTGGTTCACCCACAGCTAGGGACACACACATTCACACACACACATACAAACACACACACACACAGAGCCACACACACACTTGAATATGAAATGTGCACGGTTAAGTATAAATCTGATTTAAAAAAAACAGATATATTTATGTTTCTTATTACAAAGTGTTTCCTATAAAACTGGTGCCACTCACTCTTCATGAGTATGAATGCACATATCAAACACAAACACACATAAACACAAACACACTTATTTAGAGGGCCTCTGGTAGTTTGGACAGTGAGGAACGCTCTCAGCCCGACATGTCAGAAAGGTGTGGGACAAACTGCCAAACACGCCAGAGCTTAAAATAAGCCTCTTTCTGAGACTGTTGCCCAGAGGATATTTAACGCCAAACTTTGGCCCTGTGTGTGAATCAGAAAAAAATAAAATCTCGCCCTCTGCACATATACATGCATATAACCTCACAATTTCTTCACACAATTACGACCTCACCAACATCCACACACACATACGCAGATCCACATACATAGTATTCCACTCTCACTCTCAGAAAAGGCCAAGTGAGTGTGGTTTCAGATGCCCAGCAGCCAACACCTGATGACACACAGTTTGCCAAGAGAACATCAAAGAACCGACGGGTAGAATGCCAAACACAAGATGAGAAATGCAGCGCCACAGACAAGCAGAGTGACGGGTGGTAGAGCACTGACTGCAGACGAGAACTAGTAGCGCAGCATCACGACTGAGATAATAGTCAGAGTCAATAGTAAAAAAAGTGTACAGAAGAAAATTATCCGTATTTGAAATGGAAAATGAATGTTCCCAAAATTACTCTGCTGTAATTCTGCGTGAGAGCATTTCTATAATTTGAGTATAGGCCGTACAGAAGACTTGAGATTATCATTACTTTTGACTCATCCGTTCTGCCTCTCTATCGACCCTACTGAGGATGATGTGATAACGTCAATGGGTTCATGTTTGGTAATGTCGAGGGTTACGTTGCGTGGACATACTGGAGCGGGCGGGTGGGCGGGCAGGCTGGATGGGTGGATGAAGCTGGGAAAAACGCACCTTTGACGTGGTGTTTTGGAACCGTGGAGTTGCTATGGGGTTGATATAGAAAACCTGTTTTGTTTGGGGCTGAGGAGGGTGGGGTTCCACCTTGGAGAGAGAGAATGACAGAACAAAAAAAAAGATACTGGTTTGGTTGACAGTCTGTGGTCAGCCTGTCTGCCCTGCCCTCTCAGGAGTGAAAATATGGACGGGTGGACAGGTGGGAATGGCCATGAGGAGTGTCTTGGGAAGAGGAGGAAGGTTGGGTATCTGCTGTCGAATCCCTCATCTACAACGAGGATGCTAATTCTTCCTTCAATACGATAGGTGAAAGAGGTGTGGAATAACATGTAGCACCTGGATCAGTTTCTCTGTCTTAATGCAGTGTTGGGTTTAGTTAAAGTCAGATAATTATATAATCACAAAGTTAAAGCTAGGGTTGGTAATCCTGGACAAGCTAGTAAAAGCAGGTTACACTTGCAACCGACACATCCCAGCCCCTCCCATCTACGCTCTTGTCAAAGCTACGCCCCCAAAACGTGGAGCTCGCGCAAGATGCAAAACCCACAATAGCTTGGGGCCATAGTGAAAACAAGCTTAATGACCAGGTCCAGAACCTCCATCAATTGTATGACGTGTCAGTGCCACTGCACAATGTGCAATCATCACTTTTTCTGTCTTGATATTAACATTAGGCAAATGTTGATCTCCTCAAGTGTCGCCATCTTTATTTCTTTGTCTGTGATGTGGAATCTGGAATCTACTGGAATCCTCCAGTAACACATGTAGAACAAGTATATAGCGGCCCTTAGTAGCATGTTAGCATGGGGAATTTAACCTAGTTTGATGCAGTAATGCTGGCTAACCAGCAGAAGCTACGTCTGGCAATGTAATCATCTGGCAAAGCTAAAAACATCAACTCCACATTATTTGTCATTAGCAATAGAGGCACATTGACCAAGGAATGCATGTTATAGCTTCCATGATAAGAAGTTTGTTGGCTCTGACTTTAAGTATACCTCTAAGCCAAGTTCATCATGCAAATGCTATTTGAAATTTTCTCAGCACTTTCTCTGCCAGTTTTTTGTGACTTGCTCGCTAACTTCTGGCTATTGTCTCTAATTCAGCGGTCTACATCTCCCGGCTGAAGACTCCGGTCATTTGCAGTGAGAGCACGTGCAGGGTGCTTGCAGGCAGGCAGGGCAGTTAGTGACAGACAGGTAGCCTACGCCAGCCAAGAATGGAGTGATTGGTCGTGTTTATTGAGGGCCATAGACACCGGCTTATTTTTCTTTCAGACAATTATTCATTGATGGCTATTAGGACGTGAAGAGGATTTCAACAGGGTAAAAAGAGTTTCAGGAACAAACCACCAACCCTACCTTTAAGTGAACAGGTACATTTAAGTGGAATTCAAGACTAGGAGTAGAAGGTGATACCCAACAAAAAAAAGTCTCATCATCCTTGTTTTCGTTGTCCCTGATCACACGATGAAGGCTCTGAGCAAGCTGTTCTCTGATCTCTTGAGTGTTATATATTAACAAAACACAGCAGTATGTGTGTGTCTGTGTGTGGAGCAGGCATATCACTATGTGTGTTTTGTGAAGATGGCAAGACAATTGTGCGATACATGTGCCCCTTCCTACTGTGTATTTATCAGCTTTTGTGCATATGCTCATGTGCCTGCACTTCTGTTTGTGTGTGGGTGTGTGTTGTGTCTATGGTTGCTGTCCAGCCATGGCTGCAGCGAACTCACCCGTACAAAGCTGGCAGGGAACCATCCTTCCTCCTCATCAATCTGGCCCCACCACCAGTCCTTGTTGGAGGCGTCCAGCACCTTGATGACGTCACCGGCCTTAAACGCCAACTCCCGGTCCGCCATGGTCACATGGTCCCATACCGCCTCAGCATTGACGATTGAACCTCCACTTATCAACTAGAGAGATTGGAGGGAGAGACAAGGCGATACCTTATGTTTTATTCTCGTTACATGGAGCCGCTGCTGTGGACGTACCACCACTTAATCAGACAAACATAACTGTAAACACTGACCAATAAATATGGACCCACATGATCTAACAGTGTAAATCAAATTTGAAACTGATTGTAATACAGCACTCAGCCTCATTTTGGCCCCAATTTGTGTGAATCCTTGTTGTTAAACCCACTCAGATTACTAATGGATGCAAACACACACCCTCAAAGCCAGGGCCCACTGGCAGCTTAGGGATCGCAAATAGAACAACACAATAGCTCACACAGACCACAGTACAAGACAGCAAAATACGACAACACAAAAAAGGCAGAGCCATTAGTGCAGAAACAACACAGCGTTCAGAAGCACAGCACCAGTCTCCACACAGGGATGGTAATTGGCCCATTATGACATTAGAATAATTACACGTGTTAATGTAATATAAATGCTGAGGAGCAAACAAATGTGAAGGGATAATCTCCCTTCCTTCATGCTGTCACCAGGGCTTGTTATTGTATCTGCAGCACAGTCTTAGACCAAACATGGAGGGATGACTCATCATATTGTTTCTATTGATTTTAACATGATGAATAAATAATGTGGAAATCATGCGACACTGGGAGGAAATGTTTAAATTGTGCAATTGTGTGCATGTACATGGAGTGTTATTTTATGTTTATGTACTTGGTCTGTAAGGCCTCTCAGGTGATCAGTATTCTTTACGGGAGTTCAGGAGGCTAAAGGTTGTTCTCATTAAAAGACACAAGACGGTGGACAATGTTCCTGACAGCGACCTGAGTCTGACATCAACCATCTGCCAAACAGCACTACTATCCATCACGCTGAGGACTTAGCTCTGGTGTCTGGAGACGTACACGCACTGCACGTGCAGCCACACTTTTTTTTTTTAATACTTTGTATGCAGTAAACCTGTGTATGTATCTGTGGCACAGCTCCAACTCTTTGTTCCAATTGTTCTCTCCAAAGTAGTGTTCATCAGCATTCTCCGGTCCAGAGCTAACCATGCATCCAGTCCCTGGGGCTGTGGGCAGAGCAGCCAGTGCTAACCAAGCCTGACAGGAGCTGCTTGAGCTCTAGGTAAGGAGTTATCAAAGGCCTGAGGACAGCTTTGTCACGTGGACGGACATGATGAACAATTAGTTCTTCACTTGTATAAGACTTTTGCATATTAATATTGAGCTAGAGTTGTTGTTTTTAACATGTGACTGGTGAGGTTTTCCCTCAGTGATTTTAAGACTGCTTTGCCTGTTATAAAACAAAATCCCTAGATGAGGAAATCTTTTTAAAATGCACACCATTACTCCAGCACAAAAATGCTATTCCATCTTTCCTGCTGATGCAGTGTATTTGCAAAAATGTTCATGAGAAACAGCAGATTGTGTGTGTGTGTGTGTGTGTGTGTTTGTTTGTTGGTATTCATACAAAACCCCCCATGAGGATCTAAGCTCTTAGACTCAGCAGCTATGTTGCCCCCTTCAACCTGTACACAAGCATACCTCCCTGATGGCTTATTGAGACAGCTACAGGGGATATAAGCCAATCAGGG